CTAGTCAACTTTTAACCTGGGAGGTCGTTTTTACTTAATAATCAAATTCTTTATTTTTCTTGTGCCTTAAAATTTTCGTACCACCAGATGCTCATTTTCGAGTCACTATGTCTGACAATAATAATGATCCCCTTCTCGACTCTCTTTTCTCATATCAAGATTCGTACATACAACAGATGGGTCTCTTCACTGGACAGAAGAACCAAAATTAAATGATATCTCTGAAAGACAATTAGTGGCTATTCTTTTAGAGTGGTCTCACTGAAATTCTTCCACGGTCGCATGCGTGGCCCGGCTTTGTTTATCTTTTAGAATTCTGTTTTCCTTGCCGCGTCACTATCTGATCATGACATTAATTAATTCTGACAGAATCCGAAATCTGGTTTTCTCTTACGGATTTTCTGTCTTCTGCGAAAAAGTATCTTTCCTCGTAAATGAAATAAAATCTTTTCCCATTCATATTTTTTTTTTGTTAAAAAAATGTCGCTCGGTCTGTCTTTCGATATAGCTCTTTCTCGCCTTAAGTATTTCTCGTTTTAATTTCTACGCTTAATTAGTTAGCCAATTACCATAGCTAAATAGTGTCACACAGGACCCAAAGAGTTGTGAGTTCAATACCTAGTTAAGGCAGTGGAGACCTTGGAGAGGTGAATTGACAGGAGATAACTGATAACTGACATCCATTAGACATGGTACGTAGAACTCAACATTGCTTATTTTCGCTGATTGTACGAGAACCAGTGTTTCAACGTAATATGGATATAGACATATCACCCACACATCCAAACATAGAACATAGTATTTCCAAGTAGTTAGCCATCTAGGTACTGACCAGGGATAATATTCTTAACTTCGGTGATCCTACGGGAACAGATTGGCCAACGTGATGTAAACGTAAGGCATATCACTCACACATCCAAACTTAAAACACATGGTATTTCCAAGCAGTCAAACATCTAGGTTCTGATCAGACCCAACATTCTTAATTCCGGTGATCCTACGGAAACGGGTGTTCCAACGGGATATGGCCGTAAGCCTTCTACACTCAAAGCAATCAGAAGCAAAGAATACTTAATTGTAATAGATCGTAATTTTGGCTACAATTAGGAAACCAGGATCAATATAGAAATTAATTTATATTAGCAATAAATTGAACGTCATTGTTCTCACATATATGTATTTGCTATTGAATATTATCTTTTCTTGAAAAAGAAACAAATTTCGCTCTTTTCCATGTATTCATTTTAAATATATTATTGTTGTGGTGCATTTTCACAGTGGAGGCTTGTATTTCTAATAAGTCGTACAAAACGTTAGGAACTTGAAAAATAATAGTCAATGACGCAGCAAATCTAGTTGTGATGGTTGGTACTTCAAATGTCCGAATCTCGACTGACGCGCTTAACACCGTTCTGCAGACTTGCCACTCCTACTTATTATCTATGGGAGAGTCCATTACCAAAGAATAGGTACTATGGCACAACAATTATTTTATAAACAAAGTTAAAAATGTAATCTTCAATAACAGAAATTCATTTTAAATGCTTTACTTTGACAAAGTTAAAAATCTTAATTTCCATTCAAATAAATGGATTCATTTTTAAATACTTTATTTTACTGACGATGTTTAAGACTTAATCTTTACTCATATAAATTCTTAGATACCTTATTTTATTCAGAAAGTTAAAAATTTAACTAGTAAAAACTTAGTCTTGAATTACTGCAGTTGCTTTTCGAAGCTTATTGATAAAGCTCATTTGGGTTGAAAAAAACAAAAGAAAAAAAAGAGAATTTCAAAAATAATATTTTCATATTTGTCTGTAGATTTATTTATCTATATCATTATCATTCTGTGCCACTATATTCGGCCATCTTTGAGCAAGTTTCATAGTTCCATTCTCTACAATGCTGGCTTCTTGCTGTGTTAGGAAGAGTTCTAAGAGATTTTACAGGGTTCCAGTGAACTGAAGTTTATTCCATTGAGAAATTTTGTTAGAAATGGAAATCAGGAATAATTCGAAGATGCAAATTTAGGTGAGTACGGTGGGCCGACTGGGACATCGCAGACATCACAGTTGTGAATGATCTGCAGACAGACATGAGGTCTGGCACTGTCCTAATGAAAGACGATATATTTCCAGCTGGCTAACTCCGGACACTTTTCATTGCTTGTTGGCTTTATTTGGCCCAATTGAGAAAATTAATTCTCTGAATTTAATCTGTTTTATTTTAGTCTTTTTTTTATTTTCAAGAAGGAGCTCCTAATTCACAATATCATTTTCAATCCAATATTTCAGTTTGATCTCATTGAATATGATGAAAGTTGTAAATTTGAACCATATACAAATGTCTAAACCTTTAATGGATGGTTGCCAAGTTTTGTAACACTAGATTAATTCATGAAGTTATTTATTTCTGAAGAAGGTTAGATTTATTATTTAACTGGCAGTATTGTTGTTAAAACAAAGCGGATTGCTAAAATACGTGTCCAGCACAAGCAGAGGAGAAATGAAGACTTGAAACGTATTGTCAGCAATGCGCGCATTTATATGAAAGAACAATATGATATCCTAACATTATCGATAAGAAAAAGCATTGGAGAATACATACATTTATTATTCTTTTTTTACTTTATCAATAAAATAATTTACGCCCGTATGCAAATTAATTGAAACAACAGTTTTAGTTTCCATTCTTTCACCATAAGGTCAGTTGCAGACCCACTGGAGTGACAGGGTGTAATCGTTTCCTATTTTTTCCTCAGATTAGGTCAATTGCAGTGGTGTGTAGTAATATGAATCTATTTTCGGGGTGTATGATGAAATTTGTTTGGCTTTGAAAAATATTGCCTCATTCGTGATTGCATCAGATTTTTATAACGCCCAGACACTATTGACTCGACTGTCGATTAGTTGTCCTACGGTAATTATCTGCGATGGACCTTACCCCAAAGAAGCGTACGAAAATTGTAATGCTGTACGAACACACTGCCAGTCCTTTCTTTACTATAGACTGGCGCGGAAACTCTCCTGATTTAAATCCAATCGAGAATTTGTGGTCAATCTGGAAGAAATGACATACGAAGTACTAACATGTGCGCTGGGTCATGTTTCATTTGAAAAATACGAAAAAAAAGTGAGTAAATTATAACGGAATTATTCGTTTTGTTTCAATTAATTTGCACAAGGGTGTATATACAAATGAATATATATGTACGTGTTTGTAAAACGTAATTTTTTGTAACTTTGTCAATAAAATAAAGCATATAAAAATGAATATATATATATATATATATATATATATATATATATATATATATATATGTTATTAAAAATTTTCTTTGTAAAATAATATAGTGGCCTCCACAAAAAATATCTAAAATTTAAAATGAAATTTTATAAATGAAAATATTTTCATGAAGCTTTTATTTTCATTTTAAATTTGAAGACAATAGATTAAATTAAATATTTCCAATAAGCAGAATACTTTGCCGTATAACAAACTGAATTTAAATTGACTGGAAGGAGTTCTTTTTATAAAGATATCATTAAAAATCGCTGATTTTAGTTATCTGTAATTCTCCTTATTAAAAAATATTTCAAAAATAAAATATAATTTTCAGAAATTTTATTTAAGGAATATTAGCTGATTTAAAGTTTAATTAATATGATTTGAAACAAATATCAGTTACTTTTAGTTTCAAATATTACAAACACGCATTTTTCACTTTGAGTAATTTTGCCCAAGGAAATCAAACACTGAAGTGGGTATTAAAAAATTTTTTCGTAAAACTTCAGATGACCGTTATAAATGATGTCACCTTTAGGTAGAGACTACACACACACACACACACACACACACACACACACACACACACACACACACACACACACACACACACAAAACGCGATATCTAAAGTTTAAAATATATTTTTAGGAAATGAATAAGTTACTTGAAGTTTAATTTCAAATCAATTAAATTTAATATTCCGAATAAAAAATATTTTGCTGTAGTTCAAAAACTAATTTCAATTGATTGGAAATCATTTTTTATTTGTTTTTTTTTTTGTTGTTGTTTTTTGTTGTTTTTTTTTTTTGTTTTTTTGTTAAAATAGCTGATTCGAACCCCTTTTTAGTAGTCTTTCATTTCCATGTAATTCTCTTTATTAAAATGTCTTCCAAAAATATAATATATTTTTCTGAAACTTTATTTGCGAAATATTAGCTGATTTAAAACAAATATTTACAGTAAGTTTAAATTATCCAGGACGTCTCATCTGGGAGGTGGGGTCTTACCCCCTCTGCAGAGGTGCAGTCAGTGTATTCTGAAGTCACAGCCGACAAGGCCACATTATTTATTGTTGAAATCTAAATATTTTGAAAGCAATTTCATGCCTTCAATTAAAGATATTTTCTACATACTTTTATACTTTGGGGGTATTTTTTTAATATATTTTATAGTTTTAGTTGATAAAATGCATTGTTGGTAATATTCTTATCAAAAAGTATTGCTGGAAGTTTTACTATAAAAATGTTTATATTTTTATCCTAATGAAATGAAAAATCTTTTTCGAAACTTTTATTTTAGTTTTAATTCCAAGCTAATAGATTAAATTTAATATTTCAAATAAGCAAGAAACATCGCCATGCCTCAAAAACTATTTAAATTAACTAGAAGTAGTAATTTGTTAAAATAGCTGATTAGCGCCATTTTTTAGTCGCCTTTCATCACAATGAAATTCTCTTTATTAAAATGTCTTTCAAAAATATAATATACTTTTCTGAAACTTTATTTGCGGAATATCAGCTGATTTAAAACAAATATTTACTGTAAGTTCAAAATATCGCAGAAAAGCATTTTTTACAAAATAGTACCTGTGTTTTTAATCAACAGTAGCCGTGTTTACCTGTTTGACGAGGTAATGGACAGATCTAATATTGGTCTACGTGGACGTTATTATGCTTGTTCATTATCTATCTACCTATCTATATTTGTTCAGTATCTATCTATCTTTGTTCAATATCTATCTTTGTTCAATATCTATCTATCTACCTATCTATTTATATTAATGTGTTCATATCTATCTATCTATCTATATATATATATATATATATATATATATGTTCAGTATCTATCTCTCTATCTATCTCTCTATGTTTGTTCAATATCTATCTATCTATCTATCTATCTATCTATCTATCTATCTATCTTAGTCTGGAAATAGCTGATTAGCGTAATTTTAGTCGTCATTCATTACAATGAAAAAAATATTTATTAAAATTTTTCCAAAAATAAAATATACTTTTCTGAAACTTTATTTAAAGAATATTGACTGATTTAAATTTTAAAAATCTAATTTTATACGAATATTATTTACTTTAAGTTAAAATATCGCAGAAATGCATTTTTTTAAACCGACGGTAGCTGTGTTATTAACCGACGGTAGCCGTGTTTACGTATTTGACGAGGTGCTGACAGATCAAATGTTGGTCTAAGTTGACATTATCCGTAAAACATAATTGAAGAAAATATTGTGATCACTTTTATATATATATATATATATATATATATATATATATATATATATATATATATTCATACACGTTTCGTTAAATAATATAGACAAGCGTTGTCTATTTATTTTATGTAATTTTTTTTTTTCATAACGTCTGATAAGTTTAATAACATTATCGTTGAACGAAGAAAGAAATTCACAATATTGATCCATATTTTTTAATACAATCTAAGCTTTCGGCTTACATAAGCCATTATCAAAGATGTCAATTACAACATATTAAGCAATATACGGACAAGACAGTGATGATCTCCGATCTAACGTGGGATCTCCGAGCCCGTGGGATCTCCGAGCCCGTGGGCTCGGCCAAAAATATGCCATTTGAAACCGTATAAACAGGGTTCAGGGTCGGTTTACCTTCCCGAAAGAGACTCCGCCCTTCGGCGTAGCCTCGTTCGGGTTCCTCTCCGCCCGAAGGCAGAGAGTTCAACCGATCAGCCAGTCAGCCGGTCGCCCGCTGAACTCTCTGCTTCCTCTTGAGGTGCAGTATTTATTACGTATGGAATAGTCCATTATGTTATTATGGGTAAGGTCCCATAACAACTGTTCTATTGTAACAAGATGCATCCTCTTTATAAACATAACGAAAATGCTATATATATAGATTTATCATTTTTTTTTTCTCTACATTGATTCCTGTTGGAAAAATAGTCTCGGTTTACGAACATTTCACGTTACAAACAGCCTTCAAGAATGAATTAAATACATTTGTAACCATTTCTTGTTCCGAAATGCCGTCGCTATGAACATTTTTAACTTGAGTTGTTATTTCTCTTTTAGAAAGAACATTCAACTTGGGAGACTGAAAAAATGCCAAGAAATTTTGCCAGAGATTTTTATTTGAATACCATATCCAATATTTATGTTTTTGTTCTGTTATAAGTTACTAACTTTCTATTCTTTGCTTTTGTTTCAAATAACTGTAACAAAAATTCCAGCAATTAAACAAATTGTACCAAATTTCCTGTTTTTTTTTGTTTGTTTGTGTGGGGGGGGCTGTATAAAAGCAAATGTTTCCACTGATATAAAATATTTGTTATAAAAAAATATGATTTATCGTGCTAAAATGATTTCCTCTTCCAATAAAATTGTTTTATAGAGAATTAAATAACATAAAACAAACACTTTTCAACAATAATTTCACAAACAATGTTGTTGATGAAGATATAAGTTTAGCTTTCAAGAAATTTAGGAAAATAATATAAGCAACCAACAAAATTTGATATAAACAAAACTAAAACCTCCATTAAACTATTCTGTTGTAAACAGATGCATCCTAATTGTAAACAAGACGAACAAGCAATTAAAATTATAATCCGACGTTATATAATAGTTATTGATCCTAACAAATATATTAGATTCATCATCTATCATAAAAATAAATTCAAAATGTGCAGTCTAATTCTTTGAAATAGTAACACTTTCATGGATGTTTTAGTCCTACTACTACTCAAAATTTGATAAACAGAACTTCTTCATATTATTTAGCAAGATATATATATATAAACGTAAACATTGAAGTCAACACTCAGAGGCGACAGGCTGTTTCATCCTAGACGCAATCGTCAAGTCTTCTGACGATTGCGTCTAACATGAAAAAGCCTATGGTCTCTAACTTTCATGTGTCAATACTATGATTTTTACTTCTTTTAGCGCTGGTAAGTAAGTGGTGATTCTCTGTTTTACATATATATATATATATATATATATATATATATATATATATATATATATATATATATATAAATTCATGAATCATTCATACAATAAAACAAATACAGAGATTAATTATTTAAATGGCGAGAATACATCTTCGCAAACAATATCAATAAGATACACCAACCCCGAACCTGTATATGCATGATATGATCTCTGTTTATAAATTCCAGTTGCATAAGGTCTTTTTAATTTTTTACAAGCTTTCGTCTGTTCCTATAGACATCCTCAGGTATGGAAAGCTTGCAAAAATTAAAAAGACCTTATGCAACTGGAATTTATAAACAGGGATCATATCATTCGTATACAGGTTCGGGGTTGGTGTATCTTATTGATATTGTTTCAAAGATGTATTCAAATTTAAACAAAAATCGACAGTTATTTTAAGACATTTTTATGTTTATTCGTTCTTTTTATGGATACAAATATTTAAATAAATGCTCTGTTTATAATAAATACTATTAAACAACATTTACCGGCCTGAATGACCAAGAAATTTTCACACAAAATATTCGTCCTCCGACAATTTCTTGGAAATTCAGGTCGGTAAATGTTGTTTAATACTGTTTATTATAAACAGAGCATTTATTTAAATATTTGCATCTATAAAAAGAACGTAAAAACATAAAATGTCTTAAAATAACTGTTTGACTTTGTCTATTTATATATATATATATATATATATATATATATATATATATATATATATATATATATCACACACGAGGGCAAATGAGGATGTAAAAGAAATTTTGAAAGCTACGCGATAAAAACGCTAACGCGCAATACATCGTCTGCGCATGGGATGACGGTTAGCTAACCGCGCGCAGCATACCATTGTTCCATTGAGTGGCAGGGAGCAACGAAGGCCGGTCGTATGTGTTTTACACTCAGCGATTGCACAATTTAGATACAACGAACCGTAATGCGTTTTCCCTGGCCAGGCGAGTGTTGAAGCAGGCACCGTAAGATTGGGCAGAAAGCTCTATAACAAGAAGGAAATGCATAACGGACGAAAGCCGATCTGATCGTCAATCAACATCACCCAACTGAAGGACACACCCAAAACGGTAGACGGGATTCAAGAAGACATAACATTGCGATTAATGTCGCGTTTAGATTTTTGTATATTGTATTTCTTAGGGAAGCAACTAAACGTAAAGGAGTTCCACGGACGAGAAGTACGAGACAAGTAACTGCTGTAGTAGAAGTGGTAGCTGCATTTAGCAATGATAACAAAAAACGAGCCTAAATTCATATAGTCGGGATATAAAAAAAAAAAGCTCATCAGAGAAGTTGCCATGAAAATATTTGTAGAGTGAAACACAAAGGCAGAGAGAGACAACGTCAAGTTTAACATTAAAGTGGTTACCGGAAGATTGGAACAAGAGCAGATTGAACAAGTAGACGACAAACGAGGGGGAAAGAAAAGTGAATTAGGTAGGTTATAAATCAGAAGCTTCGTTGCTATGAAGTTCATTATGCCACCTTCATAGATATAGATAGATAGATAGATAGATAGATAGATAGATAGATAGATAGATAGTGAACAGAATTAAATATTTAGATAGATAATGTACAGAATTAAATAGATAGATAGATAGATAGATAGATAGATAGATAGATAGATAGATAGTGAACAGAATGGAATATTCAAATAGATAGATAATGTACAGAATTAGATAGATTGATAGATAGATAGATAGATAGATAGATAGTGAACAGAATTAAATATTTAGATAGATAATGTACAGAATTAAATAGATAGATAGATAGATAGATAGATAGATAGTGAACAGAATGGAATATTCAAATAGATAGATAATGTACAGAATTATATAGATAGATAGATAGATAGATAGTGAACAGAATTAAATATTTAGATAGATAATGTACAGAATTAAATAGATAGATAGATAGATAGATAGATAGATAGATAGATAGATAGTGAACAGAATGGAATATTCAAATAGATAGATAATGTACAGAATTAGATAGATAGATAGATAGATAGATAGATAGATAGATAGTGAACAAAATATGATAGATAATGAACAAAATGAGATAGCTAGTGTCAGATAGATAATGAACAGCATGAGATAGATAGATAGATAGATAGATAGATAGATAGATAGTGAACAGAATGAGATAAATAAATAGATATATTGACTTTAATACTTGAGATAATACATTATGAACACAATTAGATATAAAATTCGACAATCTTGAACCTTTCTACCCGCAAGAAAACGCCGTGTGGAAAGGATGGATATTCCCTTGACACCGCTATTATTCTATGCACCCTCAACTTCTTCGGTAATCTTTATTGTTTCTAAAAAGTGAGTATTAGAACTTTAATAAAACTGAAATATATGAAAATGGATTTATAAATTTCTTTATTCTTGAGAAGTGACAACAAAGATGTTAGACATTATTTATTTATTAGATTGAATATAAAACTTGCTTTCATAGTTTTTATAAAATTGTGAATAATAAATTTTGTTTTGTAGTAGGTTTACATATTGTTATTTTTTTATAAATTTTTGAGTAAAAAGCTTTCTTTTGTAATGTATTTATTTATAAAATAATTAATAAAAGTTAAACAATGTTGCAAATTACTGTTGTGGGGCTCTCCCCTTTTTACATAAGATGGACTCGTCCAAAGTATATGTTGAAACTTGACTAATGCATGGAATAATAATGCAACACAAAATGTACTTAGAACAAAATGTATTGAAACAAGAAAGTGTACACAATATTTACATATAGTCTCTTGTATATTCCTGGTAAGACCGTTCCTGGAGAATGTGTTGACTGAGTCGCAGTCGGGCAGAGTCTCTGGTTGAATCTCTTGATTCCTTCCTCTCTTCCCGGTACCAACCATATTTATATGGTCGGTACCAACCATATTTATATGGTCGGTACTCCACTATGCAAATTA